TATAAATAGAAATTTTTTAAAACCCGAATTATGTCCTTCGAGTATAAAGTTAAAGAAAAACGTGAATTTACACCGAATGGGCTGGAGAATGGATACTTTTATGCATGTTACCCATGAAATATAATTGGACAAATAGGGGAATCAAAAATCAAGGAAAAAAATCATGTTACTGAAGTAATCGTTTTTTACAGAGTGCAGTTTTTGCTGGCAGTGGGAAAAAAGATAATTCAAAGCCGGCATCCTGAAGTAACTGAATTATTATAGAATTATGTTTCAGGCTGAAAACTTTTACAACTCTACTTAATTAATCTATCCGAAACGAAAACGCCTTTCGGAATTTTGGTTGATATTTCATGAGTTCGCCTACCTACTGTACTACTTGAATGTACGCAGCAAAGGTCGGGTCACTTTGGAGACAGCAATGCTTCCGTTATTTTTACCATTTTACTGGACTCAGGAGTCTCGGAAGAATGTACAAGATCCCTTTGTTATCCCTGCACTCACACAAACATACCAGTTAGACTATTACAACAGTTCACCATATCGTAGGATACAACTGTCTCCCCTCGGCACATAAGAGGTTTGCGGTTGTAAGCCCAACGGCAGAGACGTAAGAATGGAAGACAGTCTAGCCACGCAGGAAACGTTAATTATCCGCACAGCCGGCAAATACGCACCGTTAGCTCATGGGGTAGTAAGCCAGACACAATTCCAGAAGCGGGATGGAGGGGTGAGTGGCTTATTCGCGCTCTGTGGGGCATGTTTCCTGGCTCTCTGGATTCTTTTCATTGCCTGTTTTAGTAAATGTGGTCTGTAGTCACTTGACAGGCTAGACTATTCAGAAGATTATCGTAGATGATAAAAATTACTAATAATAGCTTGACATAAGCTTCTTAAGTTCTGACAAATGCTGCGTAGGGAATTGGGTTTTGGCTGACAGCAAAGGCCTCCCTGCCTTGAGAGGTGAACTGAGAAAGAAACGGACACTTTTAGCAAATTTGAGCAGTGGGTGTGGGAGAGGGCGAGGCTGAAAGGTCACTCTGAGTACCGTGAAAAAATGACAAAATAGGCACATCGAAGATCATTTTTTCTACAGTCAACCATTTATGCGAACGTCCTCGTGGAGCACATAAACGTGATTGCATTGATAAAAAACAATATCGGAACTAAAACGAAGGGCAGGATCCCCTGCACCAACTCTTCGCGCTGAACATCGGAATTTGTCTAGACATTTTAAAACTTAAAGACTATAAAACCTTTTGTAGATTTTTTAAAACTTGTGTTTTTTGTCAGAAAATGTCCACATTGTTGCCTAACCAACAGCTGTTTTTCAGTATCCAGTACGTAAGTGGCAAGTAGTAGTAACCATGTAGTAGGCCTGTGAATCTCACTTTCAAACTATTCTTGTGGCATAAATTCAACCCTAGACCTCCGTACTCTACCACCCGTAATCCTATCTTAACCCCAGACATAAACCTCCCCAACACTATGTCTAACCCCAACTCTAGTCCTGGGACTAACGCTAACACGATCCTAACCCTCACTACTATGGAATTTAGCGTAAGGTCAACTGTAGTACTATAAGAGAGTGCATATGTCGGCTTTTTACCGGTGCCTTTATAGACTGACCACGCGATTGAGAAATCAAGCAACAGTGACAAACTCATATTGACCCAACTGTGAAAAATTCAGAGCCTCGGTGGGATTCGAACCCACGACGCTAACCACCAACGCCCTAACTACCTGAGCTATGAGACCCCGTCGGACGATGCGAGTTTAATCACATATGGTCAAGTTACCCGCCCAATCTACTGTACCGTCTGGAATTTATTAGGAAATCCTGTTTTGACTGTTAACTTACTGTATCAGATTTGGTAAATTTCAGACGTCGCAGAAGGTTGGGGGGGGGGATAACTTGACCCAAATGTGATTAAATTCGCGTCGCCCGGCGGGACCTTGAAGCTTAAGTGGTTAGAGCGTTGGCTGTACTAAAGCCTTCCCCTTACTGTCGTGTGATCGCGTCCCACCGAGGCGCCGAGTTTTCCACAGTTGGGTCAGGATAAGTAATTTAAAATCCGCCAAAACATCTATGAAAAATGACAAACCGAAGAAAATTCAGAGCATCAACACTTTTACGAAACAGTATTTTGACAGTTTCTCTTGGATATTAATCTCCGCATGTCGACATCTACTGTTCATAGAGCTCAGTTCATTTCCATTGATGTAAACCGGTCAAATTCCTATTTGCTTTGTGTGTTAATGGGCATTAAATGGGGAAGAAAACTAGGCTGCCAATTATGCTGCCGAAGTTTTGCCTAAAGCTTGAAGACCACAAAGAACCTTATCGAGGATGACACTTAGGACTGAAAAGAAGGCGAGATGTTCTTTGGAGGGACTTTTTTTTCCGCAAACGTCTCCAGTTCCCCCTCCAACTCATCATTCAACACTGCATCGGAGAAGGTATTTGCGCAGACGTTGGAGTAGTTATAGGATGAAATGGCTATGCCAACTCATACTTATCAAAGTTGTCAGCCCGCGCGTTAATTTCAGAGGGTTGCAGGTGATGCGATAATGACTTGGTTATTTACAGTCGAGTCGTTACTTGCCGCAATTTTATCTCTCGTGTCCGTTATCGGGGCGTTAACTGGCTAACAGTTTGACTTAACGGCACTGGTACTAGATTGTTTATTGCATTGGTCTGAAAACTAAAGTGTTCAGGAAAGCGACAAATAAAACTCCAGTACTGAGCTTCGACAGTAAGCACCTAATCAGCCACAAAAGCCGTTGCGCAATGGCACTGTACCGGTAGGTTGAAACACACGGCAATCAAGCTGAAAACAGAGTTTCCAAATTACGATGCCTTCGATTGGTGCTCAGAGCGAAATGGCTACCTGCACACCTTCGTGAACCTGGGAATGCGTCAACGAGGCAAAAGACTAAATCACACTGATCCCAAATTTTGTTAAGCCCCTCTATGCGTCAAGAACGCCTCGGAAGCCATCAGCCGTTTTCTTACATCACTTGGAATGGCGATTATACACAGAGGCTGAGAGACCCAGCGCCACAACAGGAAACGTCTGGAGTCGTTTAATGGATCTGATGAAGTTACCCAGAGAGCAATTATACCGGAAGAACTGTGAGACTACCATGGACTCTTATGGCCGAGCATAGAACAGCATTAAGAATAAACGATGTCGGCTGTCGATTCGCGGTTCATTCGACGGGACGGATGATTCATTTTAAGTACTATGAGGTCGAATTTTCCGTAAGATGTAACAATTGGGGTTCTCCGTCATCGATGAATTAACAAGCCCAATTACCTCCCTCTCCACACTCGGTTCCAGGGGTTTGCCCAAGCACAGTAGTTAGCCGCGCAGAGAGGGTGGGGAGCGGGCAAACAGTGATTTTAGCGACGGTGTCGATGAGGCAGATGTCTGAGTACTTATCGCGCCAATAATCAACAAAAGTGAGGAAATTGAAGCAATGGACAATTCGTCTGTGGGAAATTCAGCCACGCATTTGCTATGAGTGCGGCGACCTCTGCTGTTGATAGATATGCGACGATATTTTCGCTTTTCTATAATTATTTTCATCTGAAAACACAATAAACTATTTTATTTTTGCCCGCGAAATATGAAGTGTAGACAGTCGAAAGCCTCATCTTGATTCGCGTTGTTGTCAAGCGTAATACTCGATTTGCTGCAGGCGTCAAGGACTTCGGAAAGTGATCAGCAAAGCTAACAGGCTTGCTGTGGTTGCTCTTAAAATCACGTGCAATCTTATCGGAATATCTTTTGCCCGCCCATATTTTCAATCAAGGGATGTCAAGAAGGATCGTTCGCAGATGCCAAGAAGTCTCATAAAAGCTTCAATCTTGAAATTTTTTACCTTTCGAGGTCCTTCTCCTTGAGACGCACGAATATGATCTTTGGCCTAATTTGGTCTCATGTTGGTTAAAGAAATCCTTTTCATCCTCTGCAGAATGCGTCTGACTTCGGACGTCGAATATCACCTACATGAAGGGAAATCGAGTTGGTTTATATGCTGATGAAACAAAGAGGAGTATATATAATTTCCTAGTAGCATTTTCTGTCGATCGAGGGGTTTTTGGTCTCGCTGCTTTTGGTAGGCTGATGAAGCTCACTCAGGCCGCAGGCAAATAACTATGTGGCACACATTGGACGGGCGCATTTTGTCACGCTATTCGCTACTTGCGATCTCCTCGTCGATCTGCTCGACTTAGAAATAACAGAGGCAGGAGGGGCGGGAGTGCGTAAAACCCATGGGGTGCTTAATTACCCTCCAGTAGAGGATCTGGTACAAGCAAAAATCACTTGATCCTCCTAAGGTTTTGCTTTAAAAACTTGCCATCTGCCGTAGAGGCTCGGTTCTCCTCTGGGGATGAGAACCAGTTAGAAGAGCCTGCATTGCATCGTGGCCATCAATGCAAGGCTCCTCAATAAAAAACCCAAGGTTTTAGTGATTTGTTTGTGTTTGCGGGAGAAGGAAACGGACTCTTGATGCTCGTGAATGGGACACCGTGCTAGGTGCCTACGCCCGTCTCCAGTCGTATTGACCTCATCTTTCGGCTAATGCACGATGAAAGGACTGGGGAGGGGTAGAAAGAATTAGATGCGGCGGGAGCCTTTTCTACGCCGATCCATCCGCCCGATGGCGGCTTTTGCTACAGTTTCAAGCAAATTTGCGTCTGAGATATAGGAAATTTTTACAGGAATTTTCAGGGAGGCCGAAAAAGTTTCGCCTTATAAGTAGTTTAAACGAGGGAGGAGTATCATTATAAACTACCAGCTAAACTATATTTCCTGTTCTAAAAAAACAAGTTAAAATTCCTTATTCACTTGTTGGCCTTAATCAGTGATCTGCCTACCTGGTTAACCGGTCTTCATACTTAATTTTCATACGTCCCCAAAGCTCTTATTAGAGAAGTTCTCAAATCCAGATTCCTATTATTCCTTGCCAGCGCCAGCCTAAAATTATGGTTAAGTCGGCCTTTTTCCACTATCATCATCATCATCATCATCATCATCATCATCATCATCATCATCATCATCATCATCATCATCATCATCATCATCATCATCATCATCATCATCATCATCATCATCATCATCATCATCATCATCATCATCATCATCATCATCATCATCATCATCATCAGGCGTTCTTTTCGCCAATCCAATCATGCCTTTTCTGGCAGTCACAAAGGAACATGCTATTAACATATTAAAATTGTGCGGACGAATAGACCTACTTTGGCACGCGTTAAAGAACGTACTATGTTCATGTGGGATTTCACTAATTAAAAATGAGCTGTCAACGCTGAGATAAGATGCGAAAGCTATTTTGACGACTGTCTTCCCAAGTCTGCGCAGGCAGTTCACTAGATTAGTTGACAGACCATTTTTTGAGAGATGGGACTCTAAGTTTCTCTCTTCTCCCCCATTCTCAACTATGTATTTTCTTTTATGCTCTCGGTCGTCAAACAGAACACAGCGTTAAAAATTTTGTCCCATTTTCCAAATGCTGTAAAATTAAACATTTATTCAAATTTTCATTGCTTTTCGAATTAGGTAGACACATTTTGATTGGGTGTTTAGTAACGGCACTGAATAACATGCCAATTTTATGTGGCATAATTAGTTTTTGCAATTCAGAACCCAAGCACATAGATTCAGAGGAAACGTTTTTAGTTAGTAACGGTAATAATAAGAATGATAAGAGCTCAATCCGACTCTCATTCAGTCCAAATCGTCAGAAATGAACACGCCTTTGTTTAGAGCAGAAAGTCTGCGATCCTTGCTAATCGGCCCTTTCCATCGCAGCATGGAGAATAGACACTGAAGAAGCGTCACCATTAAATCCTCTGAAAAGCGAAAAAACTTCTTATAGCTGAAAGCGTTTTTTACATTATCTTCTCATCGTAAACAGCCTCAGAAACCTGGAAAAGTTTCTGGCGTGTTTTGTTAGAGAGACGCTTTTTTACTATGTCCCAGTTTTTCAATCATCCGAAAGCCCTGTCAGCTCACAAAAGAATTATCGGAACCCCTCCACTTCGAGCGCATTCTACCACAGCTATAGAAACTGAGTAAAGGCTTTTAAAATAGTTTATGGAAACATTCGGATAGTCTTTTAGAAATCAAACTGAGCTAGCACATCAAGCCGATACAATGAAAAAGAGAGAAATCCTCGGAAGAATTTTCAAATTTGTGCAACCATCCCGCCGCCACATAAGTTTGACTAAAGAGATGTGGGATTGTTGAATTGGAGCGCAGTCAACATGTACGCTTGGAGTTCGGCGAGGCAGTTCTCGCCATCTGGATCAGCAATGTGAAATTACTTGGCGGCTCATGGACCGGTTGCTAATGTTTCAGGATGAGTACGGAGAACCAGTGAGATAACAGCGCTGACTTTCTTTGTATGCTCTCGGGTCCTCACGGCAAATGATAATGCCTGTGTTGGAATTCCAGGTCTTGGGAAATTTTTACGTCCACTTTGTTTTCGCCGTTGACAATCAGCTTAGTGAAATTGGAGCGGTGGTCACCTCGAAGGGTGCGTACGAAGACGAGGAGTAGGGGATACTGTTGACAAATAGCGAGCTTATATTCATGACTACGAGCCCCACATTGTACACGCAAGAACATTTGGCGCATCCCATGCGCTAAACGATATCGATTTGCAGATCCCCAGGGATGGAATACTCCCCTCAAGACAGTGCTGTACGTAAGGAGTATACTGGCTTGTAGACGACACAGATACTAAAGCGGTTTTCTCAGAAATTCGTCTCACACAGGTTCGGGAGTTTAATTTCCGCAGCACGGTTGCTCCGTTGGATTAAAAACACTCGTGACTGTCTCCGAAGTCTGTGACACTTCATTATAAAGCAGATCGGACACCCGGTAGGTCAGGATAAATGAAAGAATAGAGTGCTTTCTTTCTTATTCAGATCAGCCATATCGTAGCGACGAAAGCTACCGTGCAAAATCATTCGGATGCAGTTAATTTTGTGAGCTGCAGTGTGTTTGCCTTAGTGGTCAGAATGATTCCCTCACAGGAGCATTTACTGCCGACGTTTGCTGGGGGAGTCTCGGCACGTTGTCCTTGCATGCTCACGCAGAGAAGCAGGTGGCTGCTGATAGAAGCGAACAGGCGAGTCCCAGGTAGCAGTTCAGAAGATGAAGATGCGATCACTGGGACAGTCCCAGTGATCGCATCTTCATCTTCTAAACAGGTGGCTGTCTGCCGTTGCCTCTCCGCTATTGAAGTGTATGACTGAGAAGACTACTCGACGTTTTTATGGTGAACACTCCTGTACAGAACGAATTCACTGGTGTATGTTGGCTTAAGAAGTCGCTCGAGACGGTCTTTTGGATGCTGCAAGTCTAATTAAAGCATGTCCCGACAACTGTGGTATTGAGGTGCCGATATACTTTGTATGTGAACGTTGATCTAAGTCCTCCGTTTCGGAAATTGAGAGTCCAGGCGCATCAGGATAGGGGGAGAAGAGGATACTAGAGGGGATTACAAATAGGCATGAATATCCATAAGTGTAGGATGCTTTTGATTGTGTTTCACTGCACAAGACAGGAGATGCTAGATGCCCTTTTTAAATGTTGAAATGTCACGCGGAGGTTTGTCTCTCAGTGGTAGAAGTGAATAGAGATTAAATTTCCTTTCAAAGGTCAGTCTGTTATTTATAGTTGCGCGCAAGTAGCCCTCCAGTTCACTTTGATAAAGTTGGACCGTGAAAAAAGACTTCAGTATGATTTTTAGATCATGACAGCCGTGTGGAAAAGCTAGCTGCTTTGAAAGTGTCAGAAATCTCTGTACAAATTCCTCCCACAGTTTGTCAAAGGGAAACTTTCGATGCTTGAAATATATGATAAAACTAGATCAGTTAACATTTTTGAACAATAAAATGTGAGACGAGGCTCTCGAATAAATCAAATTGCTCAGGGAAATTGTTAAACTGGTTATAAAAGTTGGTGATCAGTTGAAGTAAAGAAGGATGTGGCGTGGTCGTAATTTTGTGAAACTATATGTATAAGGTGCCAGAGAGTTCTCAAAGAAGATAAAAAAACTGCATTTTCGATAACGTTTGCTAAGGGCATCGTCAAATGCAGATTAATTACCAGTTTTTTATATCCTCCGAAAATTATTTCTTTTGGACTGTTTGCATAATTGGGCGGATGCTAGAGATTATTACTCCGTTTAGACTGACTACCATCTCTTACGTTATTCTCCGAGTTGAATGCAGCTCAATAAACTAAGTGGCGCATGAGATGTTCCCAAATACGTGACCTCAAGAAATGTTCGACTTTTTGAAAGCTGAATAGAAAAACTGCGAAGTATAGCCTGGGAAAAACACATTTACAACTACGTGGCATAGGTAAAATTGCTCATTTTCTGCCAAACCTTGTTCATATAGGCGTAGAGAGGCAGAGATTTCGATGTAGACACAATATAACGCATCACAGGAATTGCTAGAAACTTCGTAGACGACTGATTTCTTTCGGAAATAGGCCGTCAGACCCTTATAGGATATGAATAGCTAGCTCAATAATGTTTCATATTTAAACAACATTTGTCCTCGAGGTTTTTTAACGAGTCGTGACACAATCTTCAGAATTATGACTGGTGCCCCTGATTGGGATGACCAATTTTCTCTTATTTGAATCGATTCATTCATGCGTTGGTGTGTAAAATTCAGAGTGTGTCCGCTTACGAAATAATATAAAAGGTAATTCATTTTTTTGTAACTTTCATTGCTAGGGCAATACGTCTTTGTTAAACTGAGTAGCAACTGACAGTGTCCGTTTGCAATATAAAGCGGTTAGTTCGTAAAACAAAATTGCTTCCGCATACATTTCATTACGGCAAACTGGTGGGCGCAGCGGTTCGTCAGGAGATGACATACAGCGACCGATAACTGGCACGAACTTCAGTAAAGTACTGACTTCAGGCGCATTTTAAAAAGTCAGCTGTTTTCGAAAGTTGCTGTAGATACCTCGAGGATGAGCTTGATAAAGCTACGGAAAAAAGTTCAATACCTTGTTCTAGCACTTACGCGATTTTGACAAGTGTATCTTGAGTTGCTTATTATTTGCTATATGAGGGTAGATATATTAAAACAAGATATGTCTTTGGGAGTGCAACATTTATAATTCGCACGGTCTTGACACTGGTTCGTCTAGTAACTTGAGGCGCTAAGTAGATGTAACAGCAGCTCAAATGATGATTATTTAGTCTTTAGGCCAACGAGTGCTTGCTGCTCGTCTTGATCTCGCGTAAAAATAGCGCGATCTTCCCCACTTTCTCCGGAAGTGTTGAACATAGCATCTGAATCCATTTAACGATTTCCGCAGGACTTATTTGAAGAAGGGACGACATCTGGATCAAACAGTGCATTTCTCTGACGTGTAGAACCCTTACTGCAGTCAGTCATTAGGAATAGATGAAGGCTTGGATCTTAGGTAAAATCCAGCTTCTTATTTGCCGGAATTGACGCTCGAGCATGTTTGTTGCGTGGGTGGCAGCCTGATATACCTGCTGAATAAGTCCAAATCTGAATGCGACGCTTCCTGTAGCCGACGAAAATTCAGACAGTTAGGCCAATTCAAAACCACTGTGCTTTCGAAAACAAAATTACGTCCCGAAGAGGATGAGTGACCGGTCGCCGGGGACAGTTTTTCGTTTCAGTTAAAAGCAATTTTGTTTTTATGCATTACCGTCTGGACATGCGCGTCAGTCTCGCCAAAATAGCAAACGTTGCATCAAATCTGGCAAACAACGCAAGATTTTGAACAAGTGGCGTGACCGGAGGACGGCCTTGGGCCAAATAAATGGTCAGATATTTAAATAGCTCAGAAAGATTATTTCAAACGAGGACTCACTCAGTAGGTATATCAGTTCATAAAGGAAATGCTGGAAATAAACACCAGGGAAGTTCAAATTTCCTTCCAACGATGGCTGAACACAGCAGTCTCCTTTCCGTATTCTGTTGCAAAAGAATTCGCCTTTTTTACATTCAAGGGGCACAGACTTATATTCACACTTTTATATGCAGGAATGAATGCGTGCATAAAAATTGAGACTAGGACGACAACTAATGTTCTGTTAGTCATTGTCAGCCAGCCGTACGTAGTACAGGGTTGAGTTAGCTGAAATTCAAACTCGAATACCTTGA